ATAGCAGTCCGATTATTCATAGCTGACTGCAATTCAAGCCCAGACCTGGTGGCCTGAGTCACATGCCGGGCACGTAAGTGTGTGTGCATGCCTGAAATCCTCAAAAGCAAGGAGGAGAAAGGATTGTGGCCTGACCATTCCCCATGGGATATGCTTTCTTCTCTCCCTTTCTCTCTGCCTCTATCTACATGTACCTTCTAGAAGAAAAAAATTTCTAGAAGAAAAAAATATATGTAAATTGTTGTCACATCATAAAGATATGATAGAGATTCGTATCTTTCTGTTTCCACTTCTAACATAATTCTGATCATTTCTTTATTAAAACAATTTTCCTCACCTTTAAGGAGAAAATGCAACATTCCATAGTTTGGTAATACCAATCAATAAATATCAATAATTAGTTATCTAGTTGTTGAACATTTACTAACCCTATCATAGGGACCAAGAATGCAAAAATAAACATCATTCTTACCCTGGAGAACAACACAATCTGTTAAGGAGACACATGTCTAACCTGATCAATTACCGTTTATTTTTAGAGCTAGAATATCTAGGTGATACTATGAAGCTATTTAGCTAGGAAGCTCTGAAGTTTAGGTTGAAATTTGAGTTTAAAATATAGAATTGCTATAAAAGCAATGGAGAAGTAGATCATCTGATGTCTGAGATTAGAGTTTTGAAAATACTTACGGTTGGATCAGTCCCATGACACAACAGTTAGGCGCTATGCAGAGGAAACTGGGTCCCACATGGCTGGCCAGGGTTTGAATCCTGCCTTGTCAGCATCATGCTGGTGCTGCATGTGCAAGTGTGCCTGGGATTCTGATGGGCTGGAGAATTGGAGGATAAAGGATTGTGGCATTACCAGCCCTTTTGGTGTGTGCTTGTGCTCTCTGGCAAAAAAAAAAAGAAAAAAAAAGAAAAAAAGAAAGAACGAACAAAAAAGAAATACACATGGAAATAGCATGATGTTTGGAGAAGGCCAGTGAATATAATTCCAATGTAGGACAAGCAGCTGGAAATGTGGCTCTTGTGTCAGGAGCTAAGCAAGATGAGGACATCTAGCAGAAACATGCTATTGACATTTGGAGCAGCAGTATGGTGAAAATGAATCCTAAGAAGAGACATAGCTTCAGATATTTAGATTGTGTTGATTGATTTTGGAAACTGCAGGTTTCTCCCTCCAAGGAGACATGTGTCTATTCTGTAGAGCACGGCCTTTCTAGCTTTAATAAACACAGGACTCATCTGGGATCCTATTAAAATGCAGACTCTGATTCAGTAAGTCTGGGATGGGCCTTGAGGCTCTGCATTTCTAACAAGTCCCAGGTGATGCCAGTGCTGTTGGTCTACAAACCACATTTTGAGTGGTGAGGCTCCAGTGGTTAGTAAAAATGAGTAAGCACCATTTAGGCCCTGTTTACTTTGAGACGCTCTCTTTCCTCTTAATCAATGGGTATTACAATTCCTCATGAGGATTTACACTGAAGCCAGAATAAGAAGTTCTGGCAGTTTGGATCCCGCTGTGTTTGGAACACCAGATGTGCTCCAGGCTTTTTTTTTTCTTTTTCTTCTTATTTTCTTTTTTTCTTTTTCTTGTAATAATTATACTGTTGGGGCCTGCAGATGGTATAGTGGTTAAGGTGCTAGACTCCCACATGGTCGACCACTTTTGTGTCCCATACCTGAGGACTTGAAACTCACAACGGGCATGTGTGCATGCATGCCCAAAATCCTGAGAGGAGAATGGAGGAGAAGGGATTGCAGTGAGGCCATCCCCCTGGGGAGTGATTTCTCGCTTTCTGTCTCTCCGGCAAGTGCACATGCCCTATAGCAAAAATATCTCTCCAAAATATAGTAGTAATTATTATACTGTAAAGTTTTCTCTTCTTCCCCTCCATGTTTAGGAAACTAAAAAGCATGCCCTTGATATTCTACTGTATCAGAAAGATGATCTGATACTTCCTTTATTAGGATTCACAGAAGTCTCTTTTGTGCTTTGGTTTCTGACATTTTTTTTTTTTTTTACTCACCACTAGCTAGGACTCTTATTTGACAATATTTAAAAAAAAAACAAAACAAAACAAAACAAAGCAAAACAACTAAGCAATATTTAATCCAGGTTTTTGAAACTCCTCAGTTTACCAGTGTTTTGCATCTGTTCACCCCTGCTTGTCTTAGAGCTGCAGCTATATGTCTCCTGTGTGTTTCAGTAAACTACACATTAACAGTTGCTCCTCACTTGCTTTGTTACGTATTTTAAATGTGAAACTTGGGAAATGGCCTTATACTCACTGTCATAGAAAAATGCTTTACAGCTGCCTAGGGAGTTAAGCAAAAAAATAAAAAAATAAAAAAGTCAAGTAAAGGAATCTGTTAAGATTTTGAGTCAGGTCAAAAGAAGTATGAAAGATATGGGGAGATATTGACCATGTAAGAGTCTGAAAGAGAAAAACTGAAAGAAAGGAAGAATACTGAGACAAAGGATTTGATGTCTCTGTCCACTTTAGATCATCAAGTGACTTCAGAAGACTTGAGTTAGTATGATAGATATGAAAATTGAAGAATATACAGATAAATAGATTTGTAGGGGTTGAATTAGTATGACTAGATTTTGATGGCTCATGTGGAATAATTGAAAGAGAAAAGTGAAAAGAAAATTAGTCATTGAAGTTTCAAGTCCACATGAACAGAGGAAATTATGAACCTGTGAACAGAAATAAAGATTAAAGAAAAAAATTGTTAAGATTGAGAGAGAAAGGAAGAAAAGAGGTTTGGTGTGATTAGCTTGAAACTTAGGTAAACGGAAAAGTCTTTTATTGAGTTAATATTGATGGCTGGGAGTATAAAGTAGAAGTGAATTCTAGGGGATAGAATTTTTGTTGAAATCTCTGTAGGAAATAAGTGAAAAGAGCTCATAGAAGTATTTGAGGAATGAGGATATAACCCATGTTGGGGGAAATCATGCCCTTAAAATATGGGGAAAGAAAGAATACCCAATGAAGGAAAGAGAAAATGAACAAGAATGGTACTGGACAAGTCAGGTGAGCTTATTGGAATGACACTACAAAAGGGAGCAATGGACAAGGTGCAGGGACCAATATGATCAAATACACAGACATTATGACATGATAAAAATGTAACGAGATTTGGTATTCTTCAAGATAACATGTTCTCAAATGCAAGAGAAGCATAAACAAAAACATTACAAGGGATTAACATGAGATGGTTTTATACAAAAATATAGGCAACAAGTATTCTTTTCTAGTAATCAAACATGGGCCATAAAACCAAATTGATTTTGGCTAAATCACTTAATCTCTCTAGAATTTGTTGTTGCTTTTCCAGTTCTGTAATAGGAATTATATTATGGTACTTCTTTAAAATAGTAAGAGAGAAATCAGTTCCCTCCCAGAGAGGACATTGTCATCTCTACTATTAGTATCTGTGTTCAAGTTGGAGAGTACAAGATATAGTGGTTAACCTTTAAGTGCCTCTCTTACTTTTTTATTAACAGGTTGACTACGAAGTTCACAAAGGGCTTTTCTTTTGGGTGCTTTTATTTTTCAATTTATTTTGAAATTCATATCTCATTGAATGGAGACGCTGAGTGTTTCTTTTAAAATTATGCTGTGATATTATTGCTTCTAAGATGGTTGGGCCAGTTATGGCTGGTTGCTTCCAGTGCCCAACATAGTTAGGATACAAAATGCATTATGTGTAAATAATAACGCAGCATGCCAAGTGTAAAAACAAAAAAAGTGTTAATGTGAGCCTGAAAACTTCTTATAAGGATATATTCTCTGTGAGCCAGACAATTTCAAGGACCTGTAAGCTCCTACCACAGAGTAGCACAGGGAAGTAAGAATTAATTTAGGAAACACTTCATTATCCTAAGTAATCCTTCCCTTCACTAAAATACCTTCTGCTTGGCAGCAGGACTCCAAGTGGCTCTTCCCACTCTCATTCCAACACCCCCATGTTGTTTCTGTTTCCTTGGAGATTTGGAGCCAGGGCATACATAGCAACTGGGTTCATGTATAATCATCACAATTCACTGGAGAAGGGCTTCTACAACCGAGCATCAACCCATGACCATCACATGGTGTGTTAGTCCCTTCTGAGTCTATTGGGTTTATCTCTGCATATACTTCAGAACATTAATTCCAAAACCCTTTAGTAACTCAGAAATCAGTTTAACCTAAAAGGCAAATACAAATTTGCATTTTGTTTCTAAAAAGTATTGATCTTCTAAATTTGGTTTAAATATACTTTCTTGGGTCTTTGAACAAGTATTTTGATTTAAGGGATAATTGGAAAATGTAATTTAAGAATGCCTGGAAATTACCACCAGTATTTGTTAAGTTTGTTTTTGAAGATTTTTAACTACACTTAATTTTGAAGTTTTGTATAGGTCTTTCTTTAGACAAAACAATTTTTATTGTCCACTGTCTTGAAAAAAAAAATCTCTCTAGTCCTAGAAATCAAAATAACTTATTAGACAGAAATGAAACGTTTTAATTACTTGGGTTTCAAAATATTTAGATTTAAAAAGCACATTAAAAGAGCATATTGAAGAGACTATTAACTCTCATTTCCTCCTCTTTTCATTTTAACCTCTTTAAGAAAAAGTTCTTTCTATCATCTAAGTGAAACTCTAGTGTCCCTAAAGTTTTCAGTCATTTATAAAAGTTGAGTTTTTATAAGTTGAAGTAATACTATTGAAAAATATTAATAATATTATGCAGCCATAAATTTAAAGTCAATTGTGACACATTTTATTGCAAGGGATACACTGCATTATTTCATAGAGCATCCGTAATCAAAGGTCATGGTGTGTATGTTGCATTATCATGATTTTCTAATTAGTTTGTTCTTTATACATGTTTATATGTGTTTCAATTGCATTTCATTAACTCATAGTTTTCTTGTTAAGTTTGTGCTTTCTTCCATGTTCAAAGAATCTCTTTAATTCAATTTCTCTGTTTCTCCTCATACAGTCTGGCAGCCAGATATGCAACTCAGTCTAATCACAGTGGAATTGCAACCAGTCAAAAAAAGCCTACTAGGTCAGTTAATATCTCTGATTTATTGCTTATTAGTGATATTCAAATAAATGCCCAGTAATATTTTGTCCTATCACTCTAATTTTTTAAATAAGTGACATACATCTGTATGAAAAAGTTTAGAACACTGAATTCTTTCAGGAGGATTTGAATATACCATCTCGGGAGTACACACATTTGTGTTAGGTAATTAAATGGGTTTTAGCTTTTCCTTAGTTCAGTTAAACAGTGCAATACTGGGCTGACATCTAAATTTTAGAATTAGAGAAAGTCAAGAAAAAAATTGCTTCGAAGGCCCCACTAGGTCACAGAATCTGGAAATTATACAACATTGAAATTGCTTTTAGAGACAGACATACATTAATTATTGCACTTTTTAAAGCAGAATTGAGAAAAAAAATACTGGCAGATTTGGATGGGGACATTAGCACTAGGTCAACCTGGACCACTTTTCTGTATATAATAGATTAAATTTCTGCTTCATTCTGATGTATGTATTTTACAGACACTTGTAATCATTGACAGAAAATTATGTACTGTTTGAAAACTAATATGATGCAAAAATAAGTTGAGTTTGTTTTTTTATAAAAAATGTTAACTTGCTGAAAGCATCATGGTAGCATGGTAGAGATGATTAAAGTCACAGCAAAGGTACTTTGCACCTCTGATGATGCTGCGATTCCGTGTACCATCTCTCTCCCTGGGTGATGGTTTCTTAGTCATGGCTTCGTTCATGAATCATTCTGTACAGTGCTTGATCACAAGGACTGCTCTCGATGCTTTGTCTTGAGGTAGGTGCCTCCCCTCTTGGCTTCATTTTCTAAGTTATACTCATTTCCATAGTAGTTAAAATGATTCTGGAAAGACAAGTTTAAAGGATATTCAATTAAAATTTAGAATAAATGATATAAATTAAGAGTGTGGGAGGAACAGCAGCCCGCCATGTACAATGAGCATTTTTATTATTACTTCTGAGACTTACGCCTGTAAAATGTATTTTAAGTACTTGGTTTTAATAGAACATCTCTTTCTTTCTCTCTCTTTTTCATCTCATTTCCCTTTTTATTACTTTGATGAATGATCTGGAGGCTCTGGCTGCCTATCAAGTTAGGGGAATGAGAAGAGCAAATGCATTTTTAAAATTTGTTGTAATTTGTTCTTCCAAGAACTGAAGATCACTTGGTTTTATGGTTTGCAATAAAGATGAAAATACTTTCAAATTGCTTTCTAGAAACAGGTCAAATTTCATTGCAAACAGGGAGAGTTTTGTGACAAAATTTGTTTATACATGTGAGTTTGGAATGAACTTTCAAAGTCTATGGTTATGGCTATAGGAATAGTTCTCAGATTTTGTATGATTGAAATATTTGGCCAAATTAATTAATCGAATTCTTTCTGCAAAGTGAAATCACTGGTACTGTAAATTCTTAGAGTCTGTGGTTATTGTACCATACTTACAAACCCTTACAGATCCATTTGAGCAAAGGTTAAATGCTGGAATCATTTAGAAAAGATTCTAATCTTGTGTATGACACAAACTCTAATTAGTGGAATAATTGAAGGGACTGTTTATTGGCCATATGTATTTATACTCTGAAACACAGTGAACATTTTGAAGCTATTAGCTGTTCTAAGAAATCAATGCTTTTCTTTTTTAGCTGGCATTTGTGTTTTCCTGATGTTCATTCCATCTTGCAATACCTGTTACTATTACAAAAGAATACGTAGAACTGGAAAGCTTGATGTTCTAATAATCTAGAACATCAATAATATAGACAAGTAATAGTTAAAGATGAGTTAAAATTTGAATATTGTAACAACCAAATTGTGAAATTTTGATTGTTTGGACACTGATATAACACATATAAACAATCTTTCATTTCAAAAATTTTATAAAAGAATTAGAAAAAATTTCAGCACTGTACTTATAGGCTCTGGATTGCTTTTGTTTTCTTTTCAGATAGGAACTTTTGGAGCAGTACACAGTGACATTCACATGGTGGCAGCAAATACTAGCAAAGAGGTTGGCAACTCTCGAGATGGTATTTTCTAAAGAGAACTTAGAATGTCAACATTAGCTCTTAATTTCTAGTTTTTTTTTAACTTACGTGGGTCAAGTTTATTACATATGGACACTATGTTAGTGGTTTAAAAGGAAATGCTGTTGATTGCACGTTTTAGACACAGCTCATGAAATAACTGAGCATTAAAATTTTAATGTAGAAACTGCTTAAACAGTGAAAATAGTGATTCAACTGGTATGTAATTGAAACCCAAATAAAATGGCAAAATGGCATAACCTCCTGTCAAACTGCCTTTAATTATAAGATGCTCTGTATGTATTTCCTCATTTCCTGTCCTTCGGTCATGAGAGTAGCTGAAACAATTGCCACTGTAGGTGTATTCTCAATTGTTCTGCTAACAGCAGTTTTCTTCTGCTGAGACCTGAATCCTTTCTTTGTCCTATCTTCTCTGTGATTAGTTGGCCACACTTTTGAGATCACCAGCTAAAATCTCCATACTTTTTTTAGCACAAAAATGAGAGGATTTTTGTTTGTTTGTTTCGTTTTATTCTGTGAAGCAGACTGGTCAAATATAGTCTTACTCAGGACCTTCATCCCAGCACCATATTTTAATTAGAGTAGCAAATTAGCATAAAATTCAAGCATTTGTTCAGTAACTTTATTCTTATTGTTATTAATATACAACCTGACTTAGGATGCAGCTACCTGAGATAAAAACAAATGCCTCATACACTGAAAAGAACAATTTAACACTGTAAAGTTAAAGGCTATTTTTTCCTTGCCTTTCCATTTAACTCTTACAGCACTTCTGAAGCAGTTTTATTTATCAGAGGTGTGGTAAGTATGACTTTTTAAGTTACAGATTAATTTTCCAATGTTTTAGTTTCCTTGGGGGCATGTCTATTGAAAACTGAAACAAGATTTTTCTGAAGATCGTGAACTTTGTGTCTAGCTATTTGTCACTTTAAACCACCATTTTCTGCTAAGTAGATTTTGCCTCGTATGTCCTGGTGCCCATGAACTCCTCCCTGCTGAGAACCCCCTGGTCCCTATCAATGCACGATGTACAATCATGATGTAATTTTTCTTATACTATTTCAGGCTGCCAGGGCCCTCTCGGGTACCAGCTGCAGGCAACAGCAGCAAGGTCCAGGGAGCGTCTAATTTAAATAGGAGAAGTCAGAGCTTTAACAGCATTGACAAAAACAAGCCTCCAAATTATGCAAATGGAAATGAAAAAGGTAAGTGTTCACCCGTTATGTCCTTATGGTGCATTCTTGACGGGAGTCTCATAAATTACACACTACAGCTAATGTTTGAGCAGTATAGCAGCCTTGAGGGGTGGAACTGTTACCAGCAGAGATTCCTTCTGTGTCCTAACTGCCTGCCCTTGAATTACACTTTTCTGCAAGGCTTTTATTATTTGAGGCACATTTCAAAGAATTTCATTAATTTATTTTAAAGTGGTTAATTATATACCCAATTATGAAATCTGTTCCTCAGAAACAGTTCCTCCCAGAAACAGATAAATACCATTTTCATATGCCATTTCATTTTGATAAAAACGTCTCTTAGAATCATAAAGCTATATTGGATTTGTATGACTTTTTCAACTTTGGTTAACAAAAGTGCCATTAAGTGTTTTCATTCATTGAGGTTGGACCTTCCAAAACTGAGGTGATTCAAATAGATATTTATATGTGAAAGGAGGATGATACAGAAATGTTGGAACCTCAGTTCTCCCTAAACAGACAAATCATGGCTGTTAGTTCTGTTTTCTTGCCATAGTATGTAGTGTAAATATTAAATCACAAATCTTTAGGATGAAAGGACAGTTACCAGATTTCTGTGTTAAAGACATAATGTAAATGAGCTATCTGCCACACAGTTCTCTGTGGTGTTCAAAGTGTGCACTTTACGATGCCTTGATGCCTGTCATTGTGGAGTGGAGGTAACAGGAAAGAGGGTGTGTGGTACAAACGTAAACCATGAGGAAGTCGAGAACATGTGCTGTTGCAGTCATCTGACTGTGTGAGGGACTGGGTGTTCTGCTGGGTTTTGAGGAAGTGCTCTCAGATCAGCAGAACTTCTCTTCATGGTATTGGGCTCTGCATAGAACAAAAATATGTTTAGTTAGTTAACAAAACACTTGGTAAGTTTGGTTTGAATAATTCAATCAAGTATGATTGTTTTTACCAAATCCTTTCAGCTTGGTAAATAATTAGTAACTTTCTTTTATTCAGGCATGAATTAACTCATGAAAAATATCCTAACTAAAGTGAATTTGGACAGACTGTCAATCTCTGAGACAAGCGCAGTATATTTTCATTCTTACAGTATCTCTAGATCTTGAGTTGAATAGAAAAAAAAAAAAAGAAGTGTGCTTTTGGAAGTTAGGAGTTTGTCTTTATAAGATAAAATCTTTTTTAAAAGTTTATTTTTTCCCCCATGAGGGGTGGGGAGTTGGACAGGAACCCTAAACAAAGTCCTCATGATGCGATCCGCCCACAGCCTCAGCCGGCCCACGTCACTGGCATGTGCATGTGTGCTCAGCGTGTACGAGGAGTCGCAGGACACAAAATCAGGACCCTCCCACCTGAGTCCAACATTGTAGAGTGTTGCCTGACTCTATAAAATAAAACCTGGCCCCTATAAAATAAAATATTGAATTGAAGATATTAAGAAATATCACTGAAAACCTATACTTTTCCGGGGCAGAAGAAAAAATGACAGTTCCCTATCAGGAAAAAAAAAAAAAAATTGTGTTTTGTGATTTTTCTCAAAAGTGTCTTAGGTGTTCAGGCTTTTTGTACATCATATACAGTTTATGGGGGAAGCTAGCAGACTTAGAAACAGAGATTTGCTGAATGGACTTCCATTGTGTCCAATTAAGGCACATGCCACCACAATTATATAGAAATTTTGCAGAAAAATACTAATGAGACTTAGAAATCCTTAGTTGAACTAACACTTGGTATCATAATGTATGTGATTTCTATGTCATGTACAAATCTTTAACTTTGTTTCTGGTGTGTAAGAGTAAAACTCTACAGACAGTCTCTCAGTGTATGGGAAGTAACACAAAACTAGAAAGTAGCAACACTCAAAATAACCACCAGGTGGCGATAGAAGACCCATAATCTGGTCTTGATCACACAGATTCCTTGGGAACATGACATTATTTTTAATTCCAACTAATTAAAAATTCTAAAACATTGAAGTATATGATCTCACATTCACAAATATTTATAATACATAAAACACAGACATTAAATGTGTATAAGCTGCCAAGAATGACTTAAGTTTAAATTACATCATATTATAGCAACCTGAAATTTGTTTCACATGAAACATGACATTTGCTAATAAGCGTAGTGTTCAACTTTATGTCAGTATATCCAATGTCAGTGCTTCTAAATTGATCATGTCTCATGTTAGTTTATATTTCAAAAATATTATCTTAAAACATAAGAGCAAATGAAGCAGTAATAAAAATTACATATAAAACAGTTTATAATTTATTGAAAACAAAGATTTTCATTTAGCCTTTTGTCATGAAAATTTATAGTTTTAACATAACTTTTAAAATAAAAGATTACATCTGCAGACAAGTTAATCTTTGTCATAAACTAGTTTGCGTACATACTCAGCCCCCTGGGAGGTGATTTCTCACTGTCACCTCTCTCCCTGGCAAGCTCATGCACCCCCTAGCAAAAACTTAAAAAAATTTTTCATCTGATATCATGTAAATTATATTGAGTTTGAAAAATAAGGTACATGATTTATCATTTTAACCAATGAATTAAGATATCAGTGAACATAGTCATAGATTATCACTTACAGAGAAAGCTAAAATAGAAATTTTTAAGAAGAATGCAATGTCACCTCATCATTCTGTTGAATTAAAATATAGGAACAAATTTCTCAGGATAAATGGCAAAATGAAGATAGAATCATTTATAAAGCATTTCTGTTGAGTATCCTTCAGTTTCTTTTGATGACCTGCCATTCAGAAACTGACAGCGAATAATGCATTTTGACACTAGCATTTATCAATTTGTCCATGTGCCCTGTGAGAATTCTTTAGATAGATACATGCTCTGAAGAAAACCAAATACCTTTTCACTAGAAATCAGATCTTGTGAAAACTAGATCATGGTACATTTGAACATTGACTTTGCATCCCTGAAGCACAGGACCTTAAGAAATCAACCTCATTTTACAAACTCTGTGTAATAAATCCGGAAAGAATGTTAAATGGCTTTATATTATTAGAAATATAAATACCTCTAGCTTTATTTGCAACCTGGTATCTGAATTATGATCTATCAACATGTATAACTTGGCGGAGTTCCTTAGTAGAGAGGTATATTTCCATGTTGCTAAGAAACTTGCCACCAGAGGGACTGTATCATCTTCTTACTGGTTTCCCATGTGATTCTTACTTGTGCCTGTACAATTACTAAAAAGAGATGTCTCTTCTCCTGCATTCTAATGAAGTACTTACTGGTGTAGAAGCTTTTACTTTCATGTACACTCAGTACTCAACACAGAATTAGTAGGATTGATGCCAGCGTTTTAAAACTGTAAGACAATGTGGATTTTGCAGTAGTCAAGAAATTCTTTTGCTCACTGTCAGCTAAAACATAGATATCTAGGCACTAACAGATGGCATAATGGTTATGTCACTGGACTCCCACATAGTAACCAGCAATTCGAGTCCCAGAGCCATTGGTCTAAAACTCACACTGGGTGCCTGTGCATACATGGCCAAGATCCCAAGAGGAGAATGGAGGAGAAGGGATTGTGGCATGGCCAGCCCTCTGGATGGTGATTTCTCATTTTCTGTCTCTCAGTCTCTCTCTGCCCAGTGAGCACACACAGTCTATAGCAAAAATCTCTCTCAAATAAAACAAAAACAAAAACACCACATTGATATCTAGCATTTAAGCACTTTTTCTGTTTTTCAAATTACTCTGAAATTACCACAAAGTCAAAGAACTTTTCAAGGCAGTGCAAGTGTGTTTTGGTTATTACTTTACTGAGTTTTGATCACATGTCTTACTGTGACTGCTTGTTTCTTAATACTCATTGAAGCATAAAATATATAGTAATTATATAAAATATCATTCAATTTCCTAATTTCAAGGCTCTGAGGAATTTTTGTGAGTTAATGATGTATGTAGAGCAGGTGGTATAACTAAATAGACTTGGGCGAACATGGTTGCTTATTTATACATGCACACGTATTAAGGTGTCCACATATTATACATGCCTGTACACAAAGTACGTATGTCATTGGAACGAGATGGTTAATGAAAACGTCTCTAAATTTCTCAACACCCACAAAATGGCACTCAAACACTGGAAATGTACAGTCTGCGCGTGAGCAGGATGGACGGCAGTTCCACAATTCTTGTACCTTTCCATGTTTCTCTTGAGTCATCATACAATTGATGACGGGGACAGTATGATTTTAAATATTTTTGAGAAACTATTTACATGGCAACTACTCAGACTAGTGCAAACCAAACACCCAGCACACAATTCACACATGAGCCTTCTCAATTCAGCCCTGCCTACCAAAATATGATGATAATTATCTTTAAATTCAGTTTCCTAAAATTTTGAAAGTTACTCATTAACTGTCAAGAACTATGGAAGTATGAGCAAAAACCTTTTTGATATGTAAAGTAAATGTTTGTAGGACAATGTGAAAATAAATAAGTGTTAAAAAGTAAATTAAGTATGAAAAATAAAAATAATAAAATTAAAAACTCATAGATAAAACAAATAGAAAAAAACTGATGATGGAGGTGTTCTGTAAATCATCATTTATACCAGACAATGTGGGGAAGTGAAGGAGGATCCCCTTGGTGCAATGGATTCGAATGTTACTTTTTTTTTAACATTTTTAAGTTTTCAAATGCTGGGACCAGCAGATGATGTAATGGTTATGTTGCTGGACTCCCATGTTGTTGACTGTGGTTCAAGTCCCAGACCCAGTGGCTTCATGGCTTCAAACACATACTGGGTGTGTGTGTGTGTATGTGCATGTGTATGTGCCCAAAATCCTGAAAGGAGACTGGAGGGAAAGGGATTGAGGCATAACCATCACCCCTGGGGGTGGGGAGTGACTTCTTGCTTTCTGTCTCCCTAGCAAGCGCACATGCCCTATAGCAAACATCTCTCTAATAAATAAATAAATAAATAAAATATATATACCGTACATACTTTCTCA